TTTTTTTTTTTTTTAAATAAAATCAATTAATTGGAGATGCTTTTGATTATTAAAATTTAATGGAACCATTAAAATGGAATCCAGAAAATAATGGAAAACAGAATTTGGTAAAGATAAAACTGTAAAACTCAATTAATTAGACAAGCTTTTTGATTAATAAAATGTAATTTAACCATTAAAACAGAGTATAGAAAAATGCAAATGGAAAAAAAAATGAATTTGGAAATAAAACGGATTTCATAGGGCCCTATAATTATAATCAATTTTTTAATCCTTTAAAATTACTTAAAATACATATATAATAGAAAGGAGGCAATAATAATTAGTTCAAATAAAGTATTAAAAGCAAGAAATCATATAATTTTATTGAACAAATCTGTTAAAATACATAATGTTTTATAAACAATAGAGCCTGATGATTATTTTTACACATTGCTGTGCGATCTAATACTTGTTTAATATTTACCAAGCACCATTTAATTCAAATGTACACTTAATCTTTAATATTTGGCCATTTCTTTAGCACAGAAATGCTATAGCCACTGTAATTAAACGAATATGTGGACATCAAAATGTGTAAACTCAGAGTGACGGTTTGAGCTTTTATTTTGAAACCGCGATGTATTCTCCTGTGTTTGCGTAGATTTATAAATGATTTACCTTACAAATCTGATGAAATGGCACACGTTGCATTCCCAGATGAACGTTATAATAAACCCAAACTCACAACAACGTGCAGAGATGGAGTTTGAGACGCTCCACACATGTAAATGATAACAGTTCCTGTGGAACTACTGTGAAGGTGAACGGAGCCGCTGTGTGACGCATGTACTTAACCTACACGCATGTAAATAATTAAAGCACATATAGACAGCCCTAGCGTATTTATATTTTTATTAAATAATATAAATAATGTTATTAAGCCAGTGAATCTCAAATAAGAATATACCTAAATGAGTAATACTAGTATTTTTTTTAAAATGTTTTTAAATTACTTAAATTTCAGTCTGTTCTTCACACACACATCAGCATATAGCGCATGATTTCTAAAAACTATTTTATGATGGGTTTAATCCTTTTTGGACAACAGACAGTGCATCCAGAAGTCACTACATGTTCACTGAATGGAAAAACGCAGAAGGGTAAGCAAATAATGACAGATCTGTGCAGTGGCTTTTGCCATTGTTATGCTTCTCATTTCAAACCCGCACAACATGACCTAATGTGTTTTTTAGGTCACAAACAGGTCTGAACTGCAGGTGAACCACACCTGTCTGTGCCTGGTGGCGAGACTTACAGTTCTTCCTCAGTTTTAGGAGTTCAAATAATGTGCTTGGTTCACTTTCCCATTTGACACAGTGCAGCTATTTATATTCAGTCATATCAAGAGTTCATATAATGTGTTGATTTTCATATCTGTTCAGTGTCACTAGCCAACATACAAAGGTTTGTGTTTGCCAGGTGCATTAACACAGGGCTTAACTGAGAAGGAAATGAGGAAGTCCAGAACAACAGACAAGCCACGTGCTACAGTACACAGCATGTGAGCGGAAACAATCCTCTTACCTCATAGATGTTGGGGTGCCACATCTTGGTGAGGAATCTGAACGTGGGTGGGGAATAGGGGTAATCGATCGGGAACTTGATGCGAGACTGCAAAACAATACGAAAACAGTGGTCAGGACCATCAAAACCCACTTCAACCCATACATGCTTGTTTATTAAGTATAATGGCTAAATTGATTATGCTTTCAGCTGCCAATAAGGCTGCTTTCACACTTATTTCTTTGTTTGGTCTGAACTAAAGTTTGATTTCAACCCCCTCACCCGCTGGTCTCTTTTCACAATCACATTGTACTTGTGTTTGTCTGCAACAGATGCATCACAAGAGATGTGAAAAATGCAAGCTGCTTTCCAAAGGCAATTTATTTAGAGACAAGCAACAATGAAAAATGCATAACGTCAAAATGGGGGTTTTCAAACTTTGTGAGACCTCCAAATATACTGTGACAAAAATTTAAAAACTTGTCAAACATATTTAGTTTCTATAAATTTTGTATTTTTTCTAACTACCATTATAATTTAACTTATGCATTTATCAGACGCTTTTATCCAAAGCGACTTACAGTGCATTCAGGCTATACATTTTTTACCAGTATGGTAAACTACCATTATAGTACAGTTTCATAGGTATAAATCTAAATAAATTGATTTAGCATTTCTCACTAGTCTTAAGAAAGCAGAATGGTACAGTAAATGTGTTTTTTCTAGGGTTGGGTACCGAACTCGGTACTTTTAAGGGTACCGACCGAATTGCGTCGGTACTACTGAGTACCGATTCACGTTAAATCAATCAGTGCCAAATTTCGGTACCTGAGAACGCATCTGGGCACATACGCTACAGAGAGAGAAAGAGAAACCCTGTGACGTGATGTCACCCCTGCAACTCGTTCAAACAACACACAGGGCAAGCTGAAATGTTCTGAAGTGTGGTTACATTTCTAGGGCCATATGGTTTCTGCGAAAACGTGGAGCCCATTCATAAAAACTTAATTTACTCTATAGCACAGAATTCGTCAATTTTTGGACGAATAAATCAAAAGTAGGTCTGCCACTTAATTCGAATAGCGATATGAACTAGTGTCTGTGAATATTAAAACACAAAAAAGACGGTTTAAATATGAATCCTGCATGTTCCGCTTGCCTCTGTATGTATGAATGGCGGAAACGCAGTTTTGTTTACTACACAAATACTGAAGCACGCGTGACGCTCGCGGTGATTTTCGGCCTCTGCGTCTCACTATATGACGGCATGAACACAAAAACTTAATCTCCAGAGCTGCTGTGAGAGTCACTTCGCAAGAATTTTACCATTTCATTTGAGAAAGCTAGCATCATCATACTGTATACACACAGAAACTTCATGGCAACCTGTCAAAATAAAAGTACGGTTTAACATGTAACAGAAATATATTACTCTTGTATTACTTTTGTACAGTATATAATGTACATCTTTAAATATTACATTTTCTATCAAATTTAAGTAAAACAATTAAATTATAAAAATAAATATTACAACCAGATTAATCACTTAATTGTAGAAAAAAATAATATTATTATTAAATTATGCCTATTAAAAAATGTTTTAAAGGTATATTCACACAATTTTTTTCTTCCATGTATTAATTTCAACAGTAAACCTCAGTTTTTTTGCCAAAAAATAAAAGGGTTTAATTTTCATTTGATTTAAAATAAATGTTTCATGCCTTCATTTGATTTTCAGAAAAATTAAAACAAGAATTTCTGGGGAAAAAAAAAAAGAAAGGAAAAGTTTGTATAGGGCCCTATTGTTCAAAATGTTGAAATTGAGACTTCTGGACTTATTTTTTGTTTGTTTTTGTAATTACACAGAGTAAAGTACCGAAAAAAGTTACCGGCACCAAAATTCAGGTACCGATACAGGCACCAAAATTCAGGTACCGATACCGGTACCAAAATTCAGGTACCGATACCGGTACCGTACTGTTTAAAATGTGAACGGCACCCAACCCTAGTTTTTTCGGTAAGTTTTTTTTATATTATTATATTTCTATGACATTTTACACACCCTTTTTCTCTAACATTTCCCAAAGAGCACCCAATTTCTTAAAGCAAACTGTACTGGAAGTAGGGCCGTGCGATTAATCGAAATCGAATCGAAATCGCGATTTGAGATGTTGCGATTTCTTAATCGCAAAGCCTGTGATATGGACGCGATATTACTTTGTTCCAGAGCATATGCATGACTGCCTGCCTTGAGTTGCAGTCTTTTAAAACTAAAGAAAAAAACGTATGCAAGTTAAGCTTCGAAATGACAGACAACGAACAAAAAAATGTAATTTCCAAGAGCTGTGTCACAGCGCATATCAAAAGCTCCCTTATCGGTTCTGTTTTCAGTACTGGAGAATAAAAGATACATTCTTAACTGGAAGTGTGAAAATGTCCTAAGACTGTATTACTCTCAACTACATTTAACATTTCACCTTGTTAAAAACCATTCTGCAGATTCTTCCACCCTCCCAAAAAACATTCTGGTGCTGCTTGACAATCTAGCCATACGCTAAGTTCAAAACAATCACAGCGCAGGACAGCTGCTCTTAATAGGATTGGAGATGCATCACATTGCAGGAGAACAGTGCAGATGGACAGGAGGGAAAATCTGAGAGAAAACACACAAATGGACTTCGAGCTGGAGAACCAGGAAGTGGGACGAATCATTTCTTGGCACAAAATCAACTAGGTTAAACAGCTGTTACGCAAGAGATATGCCCTCCATCTCAATTCAATACAGACCTAATTATTTTCAAGTCTCGTGGTAAAACTGCCCTTGAAATATTTTAGGCAGCTACTTGGAAGTGGACATACTGACACATGCATTCAACTATACTCATTTAAATTACTATATTAAACAGGATTAGTTACTCAGCCTATAATGTTCTTCCAAAACCTGAATGTTCACACTGTTCTGACCCACATAATAAAAAGTAAATGGGGATCGATGCTGTTGAGCCCCACAAATCTTTATTCACTGAAATTGCTTGTTTCCAGCATAGCACTCAAATGTCATTTGCTTATATTCAAATACAGTAAATAAAAAATTGTGTGAAGCCAGGTTTGAGATCAGATGTCAAATGGAATTATTATATTCTTTAGAGACAATAAGATTCGAGAACTACAGCAGAGGAACAGATTGTCAAAAACAACTTCAGTTTTGTTTCATTCCTCTCAAAAAGCCATTGTTTGGTTTCTGAAGACCTGACATACGGATAGACTTGTGCCGGTATTCGGTAATGCGATATATCACGGTAATGAATATGCACGATATTGTTATCGTGGGCACTGCTAAATACCGTGAATAATTATATATTACAAATTAATCCGAAGAAAGTTGCAACTCTGTTATTTAATGAGCTAACATGAACTAAGACTTATTTTAACTTATTTTTTAAACAAAGATTAATAACTATTGCTCATTGTGAATGTTAATGCATTAACTAAGGTTAACTAATGAGGTTTTTTTGTAAAGTGATACCTATTGGTCTTTATAGTTCTTTTGCACTTTAATCGGTGTAAAACTTTTAACTTTATACATTTTTCTGTATTGCTTTATTGCATTTAAATGTTGTTATTTTTGTTATAAGAAAAAAGTTATTAAACCTGTTATACTGTATTATGACAGCACTTTTTTAAAACTAAATGTCAACATCGTGATAATAACGTATACAGTGATAAAAGCATTAGCAATTAATCGCAACATGAAAATTTGATACCGGCATATCCCTACATGCGGAACATACAATAAAGTTCAAAAGTTTGAGTTTGGTAAGATTTTTTTTTTTTTTTATGTTTTTGAAAGAAGTTTCTTCTCCTCCAAGGCTGCATTTTTTTATAAAAAAAAAAAAAAACAGTAATATTGTGAAATATTATTACAATTTAAAATAACCGTTTTATACTTATTTAATTTATTCCTGTGACGAAAAAAAAAAGCTATATTTTCATCAACATTCCTCCAACTTTCAGTGTCAAATAATTTTCAGATTCCTTCACAATAATTTTCCTTCAGAAACTATTCTGATTTGATACTCAACATTTTGGTATTTTATTTGGCATTAACATTTCTTACTGTTATCATCAATGTCAAAACCATTATTCTTTTTTTTTTTATTATTCCTTTATGAATACAAAGTTCAAAAGAATATAATTTATTTGAAATGGTAATCTTTTAACATAGCCTAAATGTCATTACTGTCACTTTTGACCAATTAAATGCATCCCTGCCAAATATCAGCATTAATTTCTTTAAGAAAAAAATCATATTGATCAAATTTTGAACAGTCGTCCTATGGATGTCTTCTATTGTGGTTCTGGTGATTCATCAGCATCCATCAGCACTTCTCCTTTTGTGTTCCAAGGAAGAACGTCAGTCATAAAGGTTACAAACACATGATGGTAGGTAAATGACATAATATTCATATCTGGGTGAATTGACCTTTGAAAGGAAACACGCAACTATTCCTCATAAGTTAGGCATGACTGGTTTCAGGTTCTCGGCTGACTACGAGATCTTGAAAATGTACCAGCAGAATACTCAAGAGAGCTTTAACATTGTTGTTCCTGTGAACAGACAAAGTGTGCGAATAATTTCCCCTTTCAAACAAAGAAGCAAGTCTCTGACACGCTCCACTGATTAATCCTCAAGCAGGGAGCAGTTACGAGTATGAGTACCATGCCTTCGGGCTTCGCCAGGCTCGAGAGTTCAGTTCTGACATTAATCAGGTTTCAACACGAGCTCACATCCTGATTCCTGACACACCAGTGAACAGTGACACCACTGTATCTGCCAAACCCTGTATGTGTGTGTGAGTGCTCTCGCTGTAAACAAAGGCTAGAAAAGTAATTTACCTACTTCAAATCACTACACAACAGTCCAGGACCTTCCTTTACAATCTAGAGAGGAACTAAGATGAAGATGAATGATTCAATAAAGTGTCTGACATTATTAAGGTCATTAATTATAAACCATCTGGGACTGGTGTGAAGGAACAGGTTTATCTGCACTGGTGGAATGGGGTGAGACCTCCTTACAATCATCCTTTGTTGTCATTATTCTATTTTTATAATTATCATAACAGGTCAGACTTGATGTTAACAACTAATGCCAAATAAATGGCCCTTAATAAATTGATGGAAGGTCATGAGTATGATATTTTCAAAAGTGAAATCAGTTTTGACAGATGCCTGCATTCAGAAGAACTGGAAATTATCACAAACACTAAATGATTAATTATTATTATACGTCAATAATGAGTAAAAAATATAATCACTTAAATGAGTAATGAGCTTACCGTAAGATTAAAGTGTATTAATACTATGATGAGATTAAATATGATCACATTTAATTGTAATATTAATAATATTCTTTGTACAAAGTCATGTAAATCATCTCAACCTCCATCCATCAGAATCACAATGAGTCAATGAGGAACAAAGAAACCAAACAAATGAGCTCCATTATCCTCAACGAAGACCCCAAAATCTCATCAAAACGACATCTGATGGAGAAAACAATCATAATCAGACCTTAAATCAATCAAAAACCTTAATTATATCCAAATACGTCTAAAGAAAACAGACACCGAGGCACATAAAGGGATGCAGCTATCTGGAGCTGGTTCCAGTTCTAAATTTAGACCATAGCCATCTGTTCCTAAAAATAACACATATTTACCCCTTACAAATCAACCTCAGTCCTTACCTTGAAATAGCCCCCTTCATAGTGAGTGTTTGGGGGTCCAAAAATCGCCACTTCCCAGTTGTAGAGATCAGCTTCATCCACTAAAGTGATCTTGAAACCCTCCACTGGTTCCTCCTGTAGAGACTTCATCTCCAGATTTTTTTAATATTCAGTCAGCTTCTGTGTGCATAGCTGTTTTCGGAATTAATGTGCGATTAAGTTAAACGGTGAGATCTGATCTGTGATTTAGTTTTGTGATTATATGGGCAGCTCTCCTGACATCAGCCTTGCTGTAGTGACAGACCTGAATGCAGCTTTAATTTCTGTGCCCTGCTAAAATGTCTCTAAAGGTTAATCGCACTGTCTTGCAATGACCAAATCAACATTTCCCTTTAATCTAAATGTCAACCTTCATTAACATTAAATGACATTCTCACTTGGCTGGATTGCTTTGTTGGCATTGGCTTATGTGAATGATGTTGAAATATGATAATTAAACCCGTGCAATCTTTCACAGGATCTCTAATTTCCAGCAGAAGAAAATGAATGGCTTATCCATCAGCGAGTTGTGCGGCCTGTTCTGTTGCCCGCCCTGTCCGAGCCGGATTGCAGCGAAGCTGGCCTTCCTGCCCCCGGAGCCCACCTACACTCTTCTGCCAGACCTGGAGTCCACCTCACCTGTGACCTCTAACCTTGGAGCCCCAGGTTTGCGCTCCCGATTGGCTGGAGGTGCTGGTGGAGGAGGAGGAGGTGGTGGTTTTGGTGACAGAAGTGGAGAAGGCCGATGGAAGCTGCACCTCTCTGAGCGAGCGGAGTTCCAGTACTCCCAGAGGGAGCTGGATGGAACCGAGGTCTTTCTCACTCACTCCAGCCGTGGCAACAGAGTGGGATGCATGTACATCCGCTGTGCCCCATCCGCAAGGTGAGGAAGGATCAGCTTAAGATGTTAATGGAAAAGCCTTTATATATAATACATTAAGGTAGTTTTAATGCATGAATTATGCCTTCTAATGCACCTTATGATGCATTGTATGATCTCATGAAAAATGTAACCACAGTTATAATACATTATAACACATGGCTAACAAAGCTTCAAATTTTATAATGCACATAATACATACATGTGTGTATATATGAATAACATAAGTTTCATGGGTAGTGTATTTTTTCCACCAGTAATATGATTATTAATTACATAAGTTGATATATACCTTTATAATGCATTATACATATATATATATATATATATAAAGGCTTTATATATATATATAAAATAAAGAATTGTGGGTCATTTAGTTTTCCATCAGGAATGCGATTATTATATGTGACCCTGGACCACAAAAGCAGTCTTAAGTCGCTGGGGTATATTTGTAGCAATAGCCAAAAATACATTGTATGGGTCAAAATTATAGATTTTTCTTTTATGCCAAAAATCATTAGGATATTAAGTAAAGATCATGTTCCATGAAGATATTTTGTACATTTCCTACCGTAAATATATCAAAACTTAATTTTTGATTAGTAATATGCATTGCTAAGGACTTAATTTGGACAATTTTAAAGGCGATTTTCTCAATATTTAGATTTTTTTGCACCCTCAGATTCCAGATTTTGGAAAGCTTATTTATTCAGCTTTCAGATGATGTATAAATCTCAATTTTGAAAAATTGACACTTAAGACTGGTTTTGTGGTCCAGGGTCACATATGATTAAGTTGATATATGATTAAATCCGATTAAAAGTTGAAAAAATGCAGGCTGATAGCTTCAATAAAAGCATATACCATTATTAATAACCTCGTAGCTTACTGTAGGTCTGTATTTAAAGGTTTGTAAGTTGTTCAAAATCAATTCCCCAAACGTACAGACTTAAAAAGTACAGAATTTATGCTTGTACAAAATACTTACGGATTAATTTATGGACATAACTTTAGTGTTAAGTTCTGTAGATGTCAGAATTATATTGTTGTATCTCTTCCTCTTAATCAAGAAATGATATTATTTTGCAATGTTCGGACAGTTAGTTCTCACAATCAGTTTTAAAGCCAGTCCTCTAAATCTGTCCCTGTTTTTGTGCTCTACAGGTACACTGTGCTCTTTTCTCATGGTAACGCTGTGGATCTCGGTCAGATGAGCAGCTTCTACATCGGTCTGGGCACTCGTATCAACTGCAACATCTTCTCTTATGATTATTCTGGTTATGGGGTCAGTACAGGGAAACCCTCGGAGAAAAATCTGTATGCAGACATAGATGCTGCGTGGCACGCTTTGCGCTCAAGGTATGTCAGAGACTAGAAAGCATTCAGTTGTACCGGTGCAGTATTAAAATTTAGTGTTTATTATTTCATGTGTGGAATCACTTCTGTGTTGTCTCAGGTATTGCATCAGCCCTGAGAATATAATCCTTTATGGGCAGAGCATTGGTACCGTGCCCACCGTGGACCTGGCGTCCCGTTATGAGTGTGCTGCCGTGGTACTTCACTCACCCCTCACCTCAGGGATGAGGGTGGCATTCCCTGACACCAAGAAGACGTACTGCTTTGATGCCTTCCCAAAGTCAGTGAGCACTGAAAACCTTCTTCTTTGCATGACAAAGATGTTCTTAACACTGTGGTTTAGAATAGTATTATATATTAAAATAGGTCATGCACTAACATGGAACTCAACTGAGGTGCAGTCATAGGTGTGCTTATATAATTTATTTAAATCTTCAAACATGGCTCATCCATTCAGAATTAAGAGCCGTATGTTTCCATAAAGAGGGAAAAATATCATTCCCTTTCCCTCTGAAATATAGCAATGGTAAAAAAAATCCACTATAGTATGAAATATTTGGGCTTTATTAGCACTGCTTGCAAGATATTATTAAGTCAGAATGCTTTTGAATGGCAGTCAATAGAGAAACTAGCTGTTTGACTGCAGAATAGTACAGTTATGGTACTACTATTTTTACACTGGTCTGGTAAAAAAATATTTTATAACCTCTTTACTAAGTAAAGGGGTAGTTAAAAAAAAAAAAAAAAGACTTTTCTGTCATTTATTCACGCACATGTTGTTCTGTTTATGTATGACTTGTGTTCCGTAGAATAAACTACCATTTAAAAGTCAATAAGACTTTTAGAAATTAATACTTGTATTCAGAAATTGATTAGAATTGACATTTATATTATAAAATATATCAAATATTTCTATTTCTTGAAAAATATTTGTCTCAGTTTTCACAAAAATATTAAGCAATGCAACTGTTTTCAACATTGATAATAATAATAAATGTTAATTGAGCATAATATCAGCATATTAGAATGATTTCTGAAGGATCATGTGATATTGAAGACTGGAATAATGATAGCTTTGCATCACAGGAAAGGTAATTTTAAATTTTAACGTATTCAAGCAGACAAGTCTAATTTAAAATTGTAATTAATATGTATTTACTTAATTTTTTATCAAATAAAAGACTTCTTTCAAAAGCATTAAAGGCTTACTGACACCAAAATTTTGCATGATACTACAATAGATTAAAAGTGTACATTTTCAAACCTGCTGGTCTGTTCCTAACCCAAAGCTACTGTGTGATTTCTGAATATAGTGCTTAGACTGATAGAAACTATTTTCATGGTTATTTTGTGACCTTGTTGAAGGCTAAAAGCACCAATTCCCTGTGAGTACAATTGCCCCGAAAAAAAAAAAAAGACCAGTGAGTTCTTCCAAATGTCCTTTTTACGGTTCACAAAAGAATAGAAGCCATACAGATTTTGAATGACATTATGGAGAGTAAATAGTGGCAGAATTTTGTGAACTGTTTCTTTAATAACTCTTTGTTGTGTCTTATCCTCTCTCAGCATTGAGAAGGTGTCTAAAATCACATCTCCGGTGCTGATCATCCACGGGACGGAGGATGAAGTGATTGATTTCTCTCATGGTCTGGCCCTGTTTGAGCGCTGCCCGAAGGCTGTGGAGCCGTTGTGGGTGGAAGGAGCCGGGCACAACGACATCGAGCTCTACAGCCAGTACCTGGAACGCCTGCGCCGATTCATCAGCCAGGAAGTGGCTGCACAGTAAATGCACCCTTCATTACGCTCATGTCAACAAATCGTCGACGTATATGGAAAGCAAACAAACAGAATCTGGTTCTGGAGGGTTTGTTCTTCTGTAAACTTTCGACTTTTACATTTCTATCAGCCTGGAGCTGAGTTTGCTACTGAGAAGACCCCTTGACTTCACACCCAAAAGATCTGAATGTGTGAGCGTCCGCGTCGGTTTCAGGACCTCAGTTCGTCTGAGGCACTCGCAGTTGATTTGGCTTGTGATTTATGTGACCAGGACAAATGAAATGCCATTTGAACAGGACTGATATCTTATATCTTTATGAAGCTCTTGTGGGTGTTTATGTACTTTCTCTTTTGTTAGTTCTCGTTGGTAAGCATAAGACCAGTCTGTTTTAAAATACAGCATCATCACTTTTCAGACAAGAACTCTCTGCTGGACAGATGTGTGTGTGTGTGTGTATTCAATATTTTTTTTAGACCATCTGCTGTGTGTATGAATGTGGTTTCATTGAAACCTTTTTTCTGATGAACTGATCTTCATCAGGCATCTCGAGATACACTACCAGTCAAAAGTTTGGACACACTGAGTTTGATTTTCATGATCTTAAAAAACTTTTGATCTAAAGCCTTCTGCTTAAATGCTTAAAGGGTTAGTTCACCCAAAAATTAAAATTCTGGCATTAATTACTCACCCTCGTGTTGGTCGAAATCCGTAAGACCTTCGTTCATCTTCAGAACACAATTTAAGATATGTTTGATGAAATCTGAGGGCTCTCTGACCCTCCCATAGACAGCAAGGTAATTTTCCGAAGATGAACGAAGGTCTTACGGGTTTCGAACAACACGAGGGTGAGTAATTAATGCCAGAATTTTCATTTTTGGGTGAACTAACCCTTTAATATTAGTTTTGTAGACATATACATTGTGCCTACTTACGAATTTCTTTGCAAAACTAAAATCTTAGCAACCAGCAACTGTCCAGTATACATAAAAACTTCTTCAATACGGTTTAAAAACCGTCCCAGGATGCTGCTCTTGAAATTGACGAATGTCCAGAACTGGAATCTAGACAAAGAAGAAGCTCATTTGTAAGACATTTAAATTTTTTTAAAGTTTTTTTTTGCTCAATACATACTTTAATTTGTGTTATTTAATTTTATCTTATAGTTTTCATGACTTTTCTATTATTCTAATAAAATAGTCATAATAAAAAATATTAATAGATGTTTCCAAACTTTTGACCAGTAGTGTAGGTCCATTCCGGTTTTTCTCCAGATTCTACATTTTTCTTTTAGCATTTTTCCCTTTGCTTCCCTGTCATTTAAAAAAAAGGAGTTTGGGACCCAAACGCTGTTTTTAAGGATGTGGGTAGAGCTGTACTGATACAATATGGATATATGGAAATACACTGCCATTCAAAGTTTGGGATCAGTGGATTTTTTTTTTTATTAAAGTAATGGTTTTATTCAGCAAGAATGCATTAAATTGATCATAAGAGACAGTAAAGACATTCACAGTGTTACAAAATATTTCTATTTCAAATAAATGCTATTCTTTTGAGTTTTCCAGTTATCAAAGAATCCTGAAAAATGTATCACAGTTTCCCCAAAGATATCAAAAGCAACTGTTTCCAACATAGTGGCTTAAGAAACATTTCTTATTGTTATCAAATCGGCATATTAGAATGATTCCTGATGGCTCATATGAGACTGAAGACTGGAGTAATGATGATGGAAATCCAGCTTTGCCTCACAAGAATAAATTAACTGTTTTCTATTTGACTCTATTTTAAAATCTATTTTAAATTGTAATATTTTACAATATTAAAGTTTTTACTGTGTTTACTGTACTGTGTACCTTATAGAGCAAAAGAGACTTCTTTCAAAACAAAAAATCTTACTTACCCCAAACTTTTGAACGGTAGTCTATCAAGATTTTTTTCCTCGCCATATTGACCCTTATATCACTATTTTTTTTTATTCATGTGTTCATATATTCCATTTATATGTTTAAGAAGAAACAGATTGTCTACATAAGCAAAAACTCTAAAACCAGAGCTGCTTCTATAAGACAAAAGTGAAGTAAAACGTGTGGGAGAGATTAAAACTCTTCACCTGGTCCAGTTGATATGATATTGTGATGCATCAGTGTATTGAGTTGTCAAATATGTATCACAATAAGGTAGTTGGCATTTCCAGCCTCTAAAATGGGGACTGAATTTGTAAATATTTCGATTTCTGATCCTTTTTTCCCACTTTTTCCCCACACACTGAATTGATTGACAGGAATGATTTTACCCACTGTGAGCACCTGACCTGAACGACAGGAAATCTCACGCTACACCCGAGACATCACACGTTCTTCCCGCATTCACTTCTCGTAGCTCGTGCACGTTGATGGAATGATGCCTAAATGAACTCTGACACCCAAGTCGACCCCAAACTGATGTGTGATTGACAGTTTTCTGAGCCGTCTCAGGATGGGGTCATGACCTCCATCCACTGTCTGTGTTTATGTCTGCGAGAGGAAGAACTGTGACAGGTTTTTTAATATTACCGCATGCCAAGTCATCAAATCACATTACCGTCGTCATTTTTGCTATTTCCAATCTCAGTTTGTATGTTGAGCTATTTATAGCGGCCACTTCTCTCACAAACAAGCCTTGCTGTATTAGACATGCTCTTATGTGGTCAATGGATAATTTAACATGAACTTCCAGATCTATTTTTATGAGGTCGACAAGTCTTTGCTATAATATGAACAAACCTTTCATAGTTTAAGAGCCATTTTTAAAGGGATAGGTGTGTCTTTGTAGCCTGGACATGTAGATTGTTTTTGTTTTTTGGACTTAAAGTGATAGTTCACCCAAAAATGAAAATCTCACTTCATTTCTTCCATGGACCATAAACAGGTCATTTTTGAATATTATAAACCATATAGTGACCAAGGGTTGTCAAGCTCAGAGATGATGATGAATTGGTGAATAACCACTCAAAAATGAAAATCTGTCATTATTTACTTTTATGACTTTCTTTCTTCTGCAAAACACAAAAGAAGATATTTTGAAAAATGTTGGTAAGCACTCAGGTTTGGTTCCCGTTGTCCAAACAATGGAAGTTAATGGGAAACGAAACGGTTTGGTTACAAACATTCTTCAAAATATCTTCTTTTACATTCCACAGAAGAAAGTCATACAAGTTTGGAACTTGCGTAAATGATGACAGAATTGTCTTTTTTTTTTGGGTGGACTGTCTCTTTAAATTTAGTGTTTATCATGCAAATCAATTGTACAGCTTATGGTTATGATACTTTAATTGTGTCTGTTTTTTGTTGTTGTTTTAGGGTCTTGAAAGCATCTGGTCACTACATGCTTTCTTTTTATCAAAAAGCAGAGAGTTTTTAGGTGAACTATCTCTTTAAAAGGACACTGCAACCTCTTTAACATCTAGTTTGCTATACCTCCCTTAAGGTCAGTCGTTTTTTATCCTGATGTCTGTAATTCTTAAGACGGTTTTTAAGACTTTGACATTTTTAAGACCCCAACTCTTGTAAAAAGCAGTGTGTACTCAGGGACATTTTCATTTGTTTGTGCTGACAACACACTGCATATTTGTCCTCAAATGCTGCCTGTAAAACAAAACCTGCTTTACATTGATCTTAGGAACCACAGACTGCAGGAAACATCATTTTTCATGTTGACATCTGTGTCATAATGAGCATAGCAAACTTTGTGTTAAAGCAGGTGTGTGCCACTTTCAGTATGCATGTAATAGATAAGATATGAAAAGAAAACGGACTAATTATAGCGTGTGAATTTCAGTGTATATTATATGACGTTCCGAGATTAAATAGTTAACGTTAGCCTAATATATAAAAAGGATGTTAGGATGTTTTTTTTTTATTTGCTTTTTAGAGCTCTAATGAAAAGGGTTAGTATTCACATCTCTGAACAACCGAGCAATAATGTCAAAACCTTTGACTGTGAGAGCTGGATAGATTTATCAGACTCACACAAAACTCCACATGATGATCATTTGAAGGTTTGCACTTTCAGTGACACAGCACAACCTTATCCGAGAACTCTAAAATACTCTATGCCGACTCTCAATTTTGTATTGCGATATAAAGCTAATTTGCTGTATTTCTAGTCACACTAAGTCACATATCTATATCGAGATATATTACCAGGTACACGTCTGTATAAAGAGGTGATGGTGTGTCCCCCTAATATGATGTAAGATGCTTTGTGTGTGTGTTGGGTAATGTTTTCATTTTTTAGCTGGAAGATGTGATGTACTGTGGTTGAGTAATAAAGGAAAGCTGTAAAGTTACAGTGGTATTTTTGACTTTTTTTTTAATAGTGATTAGTGGTTGAATTATGATTTTTTTTTTTAAATGACTGATATCTAGAGAACAAGAGCCTGATATTTTAATGAATGCAAATGAGATGTTCATTAAAGTAGCATATATTTTACTATATTGAATCAGACTTAAAATGTGTTTAAACTTAGAAATTGTTTAGCCTCTTGTCCATAGACAACACTTTTGTCAATCGGTTCTGATCATCTCAGAATATCGAATATGGGCTGATTGACTGAAGGTTGTCCTTTAACTGCTTTTATGCCACATTATTTTGCAATAAATGTTAAATGCAATAATCCAGTATGCTGGCCTAAAAAGAACTCTGTGTGTAGTATCGGGAAGGCCAATTCATTTTAATGAATAAAAAAAAATAATGAATGAAATAACTCATTAAAAATTAATATGTGGCATTTACAGTAGTTTTGTAAACGAATGCTTGTTAAAATACTGCTCTTTTAACACTGAGGTGTTATTTTTGTATAATTGAGATACTGTTGTCATCTTTATTATTAATATTTTAAATGCGTTTTAATTTTATATTTTTTATTTTTGTTTTGATTAAAGTTTAAGTTCGAGTATTTTATGTATATCTATATAGTCTTTGTTCATTTTGATTTTGATTTAGTTTGAGTTATGTTAGTACATCGTTAAACTTAATGAAAATGACATGTTGCCTTGGCAACTAGCTGAAAAATAATGCAATAAAATAAAATTTGTTTCAGCTTTGGAAAAAGGTAATTGCGACCATTTATCTCAGAATGCAGACTTTTTTCTCACAGTTCTGAGTTTATCATACAATTTGCACTTTTTTTTCTCTGAATTGCGAGATGTATACATGAGATATAAAAAAAGTTTTTATAGTTTAGCATCCTGTGGCAGAAACAAGCCTCCATAGAAAAAATTAGTAGTTTTATTATATTATATTTTATTTAATTTTAGTTAGATTTATTAAGCTTTATTTTGTTTGGTGTAAATGAATCTTCATATTTAATGCTATTACTCTTAACAGATGTTTTGTGCCAGGTAGGCCTACTGCCCTGATTGCCATAAACAATTTAATGTCATATATATATTTAAGAAGAAAAAAAGTTGTCATAAACAGAGAATTTGTACAATGCCAAAGGCTTGTTGCTGGCATTTGCGTCTCAGAATAATATTCCCAATGCAAAGACTGTCTAGGAATCGACATCACGTCAGAATCTGCATCAGCACTAGATGGCAGAGTCTCTCTGTCTTCAGCGCGATTGGATGCAGCACCGCTGTCACTCACTGCCCGCCTATGAACAATCTTCACATCACACCCACAGTCAATAAACCTGTTTGTGATTTTCAGTGCCGTCTCCAGGGATACCGTAATATGTGTCTATTTTTACACGGTCTGTAGCATTATCTATTAAAATGTTTTGAAGCTGTTGAAGATAAAAAGCAATTATATGGCTCCGTTCAAATAAAACAGTTTTTCTGTTACCTTCAACTATCCCAGCTTGATGTGTATAGAGTCAACGGTAAGGAAGTTGATCCTCATTAAGTGTAAAACGTGGTTTTGTGTCTGATTGCTTTGTTTGTTTGTTCATCCCTACCAGCTCGACACAGCAACGGTGGCTCAAAGAGACGCGAGTTTACATTGATTCAGCGTTATTTAGCAGACGCTTTTATCCAAAGCAGCTAACAAATGTTTGAGTTTGGAGTGATACTATTCGTTCCCACCAGTGGAAGAAAGCTGAACCTGTTTGAAAAGCCATTCTTTTTTTTCTTTTTTTCTTTTTGCACTTCAGGTTTAAAGGATTTCAAATGAATCCTGTAACGGCCCATTTAATAATAATCCATTTAAATCTTCCCCTCTGCTGCAGCTCTTAATTCTCATTTCTTATGCTAAGTGTGCCATCAGTGAGTTAAAGAAATAGTTTACTCAAAAATGGAAATTCACTCACCTAAGATGTTGATGAGTTTGTTTCTTCATTATAACGGATTTGGAGATATGTAGCATTTCATCACTTGCTCACTAATGGATCCTCTGCAGTGAATGGGTGCCGTCAGAATGAGAGTCCAAACAGCTGATAAAAACTACAATAATTCACAAGTAATCCACATGACTCCATTTAGTCCATCATGTTTTGTAAAGCAAAAAGTTGTGAGTTTGTAACAAACAAATCCATCATTAAGACTTTTTTTTTTACATTTGAACCATTGCATCCGTCTATACGAGTCCTCTATCCATAATATTGCTTTCTCCAGTAAAAAAAAAAAAAAGGTTATCCCGTCTGAATCAGGAGAGAAATGTGCACAGATCACCGTTTACAAGCCAAAACAAATACCTTGGTGGATTTTGATGTCAGAGGGCAACAGACAATGGAATTTTCACTGGAGGAAGTATTATTATTATTGATTATGGACTCATATGTTAACCAAAAGTGACAGTTTGAAGTTAAATTGATTTAACGATAGATTTGTTTTTATTATAAACACGCATCTCTTCTTTTCACAAGATGTTAATTGATGATTGATTAATTGGAGTGGTTTATGGATTATTGTGATATTTTTATCAGCTGTATGGACTCTCATTCTGACGGCACCCATTCACTGCAGAGAATCCATTGGTGAGCAAGTGACATAATGCTACATTTCTAAATTTTCAAATGTGATTTGAGAGCAGTGGACAGACTTTTCATTTTTGGTGACCCATTTTATTGGCATAAATTGCTACAATGTTGTGGTGTGGCCTGCTGGCTTTTGTAGTGATTTGCACATAGGTTTTCAATTTTGCAGGGTCTGTGCTAAAAACACTTTCTGGAGTGATTTGCCACTGATCTGTGTCCAATTTGTAGATGTCAGAATCGGATACTTTTTCCCCGCTCCATATCAAAGCGGCATCTGTTTCAATGCTTGCCTAGAAATATCAGCATAATGGTTTCCTGATGCTCATCTCCTCAGCAACAGAAGCAAGGGTGATGAAAACCTGCCTGACAGGAATATTACTAAAAAGTGTTGCCCCCCCGCTCTTTTTTCTCTTTGATCGCAGTTTCTTTGGGGGATATCAGGGAAACTGGACTTTCAGAGTCTTGTTTTCAGGCCTGAAAAAATATTTGCATTACACACTTGAAAAGGGCTTGTTTTTCCAGTCTTTTTCTACAATTGAAACTCTTTTATGATTTATCTGAGGAGTTCAAGCACTGAGTGTTACTAATTTGCTAATTTGTCTGATTTAAGCATTGCTATTTGATGTGAACAACCCTTGAGAAATGCATGCATGTGCTTTTGATCCTGTGTCTCAGTGCGTTTGTAGTCTTTTGAGTGCATTTTAAACTTTAATGAGTCACATCGAACTGGTGAATATATCAGACTTGGAAGCAAAAATCCCACACATCTCAGTGAATCAGCTGAGAATCCATCTGGAAAATCTGTTCTGCGTATGTGACAGAAAGAGAAAAGCAGTACCGTCTATGCTGCTGAGTCACCTGAAGTGTTGAAATGACACTTGCATAAATTTCTGTTTTTACATATGAAATAGAATTAGACTGCCTGGATTTTTTATACACTTCATTTTGTGGACCGTTATGAATGCTTTTTTTTTTTTTTTATTCTTTGACTGCAGGTTCAACCTAAAATCATCAGTATAGAATTGCAGTCAGGGTTATGGGTTGGGTCAAGAGTAAATTATATTATATTTTATATTATATTATTATATATTATATACTGGTTCGGTCTGTTTATGTCTTTTGTTGCTTCAGCAGGTGCGGCAGTCAAAAACCAAACACAGATGGTCCAAAGCATTATCTGAGAAGAGCCTTTGTTGTCCACATGGTGGTGAGGATTCTCGCTTTAAATAAACTGAAGTTAAATAATAAAAGTTACCCTGACACATATCCTGGAGTATATTTGGTCCCTGTGCATTAGTCACATGCATCTTCACAGACAATAACACATCATTTTTTTAAAAACATATTTGCTTATGCAGTAAGGATTCTACATCTGAAGTGTGTAAAACTGCATATTTTTCTTCTGTGGAACACAAAAGAAGAAAAACACTGTGAGCTAAACAACATTATAGAGCCCACTGACTTGCATTGTATGGAGAAAAACAAAACAAAACACTAAGACATTTCTCAAAATATCTTCTTTTATGTTCCACAGAAGAAAGTCAGTCATACAGGTTTGAAATGACACAAGGGTGAATAAATGATGAGTAATTTGAATTTGTGGGTAAACCTTCTCTTTAAGATCATAAAGGAATCCTCTGTATAGGATTCTTAAGGTTTTTTTTATTTTTTTATTTTGCTGAAGTTCTTGATGTATTATTAGGTTCTTCAGATTTCTGTGTATGGATGAAAACTAAAGTAGATTATTATAGACAATACAAACATGTTTTTTATGTAATTAATATACATTTTAAAGAGTGTAATCATAATTAACTATTTTATAGCAGTAGAAGTAGAAGTCTAAGGAGGGTGCTCTCGAGTAGCTATTAAAAATCATATTGCTTAGAGGTTGATCTTTCACATCTCAGAAGACTTAAAAAGGCCTAAAATGCATTTAATTCAAGCACTTACTTTATCTCAGATGTTTCTCCTGAAACCACATAAGACGCAAACCAAATATGTTCACATGGAATTAATATGGGTACAGATCATTTGGTCTTAAGCCAGTTTGATGAGAGATACGTCTGTTCATACTGAGATATGTAATTGTGAATACAGTTTGAGACATTGTTGAGATCTCCACTGAATCTCGGAGGACGTGTGAAATCAATAGGGTATTTTTCTCAGGGGAAAATCCATTCTTTCTATTTGATCTCCATTTAATCTATAGGAGAAACAATTGAGATATTAATTAGATCTAATTATCAGAGTGTATATACGTTGCCTAAGCAAATGAATATGTGTGCTTGTGCGTGAGGGAAAGCGAGAGAGAGAGAGAGAGAGAGAGATCCATCCCCCCTCTTGGATGGTTAGGTGCCTCAGTCTGAAGCCCGCCGATGAAGCTCGTGTTCACGCAGCGCTCGGCGTCTCACCGGTGGATGTAAATATCAGTTTATACGACAGCAGAACGCACAGACTGATTCATGAGCATCGCCAAAGGAACCGCTGGAGAGACGCTCCGCTCCGCTCCAGACTGCAGGAGGATGTACGGCGTTATTAACCATCCCCGAAACCATTTAAGGACCCTCAGACATTGATATCTTCATATGCACGTGAATCCTCTGCATTTGAAAGGCTTTCAGCGGGCGGACACACACGCTGCGCTGTGCGTCTTAACGCAGGACTGCGCTTTTGGACCCGTGCCACGGTTGTTTGTCTCCGTCCGTTCACCCAACCACACCTACCCGTTATATCTTCACCGAATTACAGCAGTGGCGTCCGCACACCGGATCCCGACAGATCCCGTCGCGAAAGGGACATTGTGTCTGCGTGAGCCGGTGGAAGAACGCGGATCCACTGCGCTATAAACGCCCGGTGCGCACCGGACCCGCTCAAAGACCCCCGTGTCGGACCGATATGTCAGCCCGGTGCGCGTGATCGCTTTGGAGGAGAGGCAGGTGAAATTATCAGCTTTGTCCCGCATCCTGCGCCAAGAAGGAACGCATCACCCTGAGGATTTAAACGCACAGACATCCAACTTACCAGGTGAGCCGCTCAGTCATATTAGCGATAGATTTAATGCACATTAGAGTCAGAAATTAACTTTTTTTATTATTAGGTAAATTAATTCCAGTGGCATTTTGTCAGGATTTGAATGGCTGATTTCATCACAAACGCTTCATATTAGCTCTGCGGAGGCGCGGAAACCGTAATTACTGGCCTAAAATATTAGGAATGGTCGAAAAATATAAAAACAGAGGATGAATTACATATTTTTGCCCCCCAGACTATAAATATATATGGAGCTCTTTGGGGCATTTTTTGCCCTAAACCCTTGTTAATTTCTGACCATGGTGCACATTTGATCTTGTAGAAGGTTCAAGTCATTGCATCCACCCTAGTCATAAAATCCTGGAGGAATATATGAAATAGCATTAACGTTTGGAACCAACCTTAATGGGATCCATCATCCAGTGAGAATCCTTTAAGAATCAAATCCAACTGGATGAACTGAAATTCCTCCAGGATTTTTTTGGGATTAAACGATTCTACAATTCTACTTATTGTAATGGAATAATGTCTTGCTATTGGGCGGTTAAAGGAAATCACATGGAAGCTGAGAGTTTGTGAAAGATTTTCTTTACATTCCTTTTGATGAAGGCATTGGTTCTATTGGTGATGTAAAAGTCCTGTTAGGAAGCATGGCTTTCTGAAAGACCACCATAAATCCTTAAGATGGTAAATCAAGTATTAAGTCAATACATACATACACCCTAGTCAAGTCGAAATAGGTACTGGATATATATATTTGGAATTGGAATTGGAATTTGAAACCAATTCTAATAGGATTCAGTAGGAGTTCCAGGTGTTTTTTATTCTTGAGTCTTATTGGATATTGTGTAATCTTTTTCAGAGCTTTATATGTCTTGTACTGAATTAATGTTTCGCTGCTGGACATTTTAAAGGAAATCACATGGATTCTTTTCGATTCTAATGATGGTCCGAAAGATCTAGTTTTTGTTTGTGTGATGTTTCATTTTGTAAAAAAGTTCCAATTAGAATTCTTTAGAATTGCTTTTAAATCATGATGGAATTCTGTTTGCATCCCTTTAGGAAATGTAACCAGGTGTAGCTGGTTGATAAGGCTCTTTTTCATCTCATTCAGGGCTTGTTGGCTCTCAGTAGCATGTCTCATAGGTCATGCATGCACGATCCATATCTTGCAAAACTGTTTAGTTTGAGCGATCTGATGCGGTGTGGCTTTCATTGGTTCATCGTTCTATTGTTGTGAATGCATGCACACTTCAGGCTCGCTGATGCTTCATAATGCTGCGGCTCTTGCTGGTAATAAACAAACCTCTCTAGTGCCAGGCTTATGTAAAGCACATTTCGCATGTCAACAGTGTTTCTGAAGACAAAGCTTTCATATATTGTCTAGGAGGATAGAGGATCGTTTCACCATGTGCTTTGGGATATACATGCATGACTGAAATACAATCACCACCTGAATTTGACTTTTGTCCTTTGTGTTCTACATGTGATGATTGTTGGGTTTGTTGCTCTAGTAATTTTGCATAATTTATAAGCTTAGTTAAGAGGAACTGCTTCCCTTGCTTCCAAGGAAAACTAGCCATTTAAAAGGTAAATTTAACAAACTTTAAAATGCTTTTATGATGGTACCGTGGTACAGTGAGGCTGTCAGAAGGTAATACCATGGTATACACTGGAAATGTATATGACCACCCTCATACAAGAAGCTTTCAGATTCTGTCTTTTTAATGGATTTTTTAAAATGATGACAAATGGTGTCAAGTTAACATCTTTTGCAGTGTGTTTTTTTGGGGCTAACAAAAAGGGTCAGTCCACTTACAGTAGTTAATGCTTTATTTTATTTTATTTTATTTTATTTTATTTTATCCAAGACAACACACATTAATTATACATGGCAATATGTAAAATGTGCCAAAGATTTAGTCAAATTGGCTAATGTTCATCCGTAGTCCTTAAGCAGGTTGATTAGAAATCATGAATTAATGATAAACAATACTTTTCCTGCATTTATTAATAATGTTATTTTTTATATTTACTAATACATATTTAACATTTAAAGTTATAAAAGAACAGATGTATATTGTCAGTGTATTCTGAATAAACAATTAGCAATAGTATAGTTCTAAATTAAAAATGACTGTTAATAAGAACTGTAAAAAAGTTTCCCTTTCAGTCGGTCACTACGAGTCACGTCGTGACCGACGAATGAACAATCCGAGGCATTTAACAAATATTATTATTATTATTAATTATTTTTAGTAGTACTACAAAAAGGACTGAACCAGCTATATACAATATGCTGATGCTGGCTGAAACGACAAACAGAACCTAGAAGAAAACCGACACGTCTCTCCATGAGGCAGTATCTTCCTGAGAAAGACAGAATTGTCCTACGCCAAGATGTTGTAAAAACTAGCTGGCCTGTAACTGCCTGTTGTTTTTCTTTTTGCTGACGTGTTGTCTTTGCCCTCTTAGGCACTGCATGATTTATTTATATTATTTATTTATTTTTACCCATAGGTTCCATGACTTTGAAAAATAAATCATATGTAAGGACAGACTGGAGACGTGCAGCGGAGAACAGAATGTTTAGATAGACGATAACATCTACAGATAACAGTGGAAATGTACACTAGCTGCATGTTGCACAGATGACGTGAGCTAAAATGTTTGTGTTTGAATACAGTGCACAGTAAATAACAACTAGATTTATGCCTTTTGTTGCTTGTCTGTGCAAAACTCACCGCCACGATGCTAAAGTGTTCTGGGTGCTTGCCAAGGTGTTGATATACAGTTACGAAAGTTGCGTCCCAAATGAAGCACTATACACTATGCACTTATACGCTATACTTAGTGTACTCATATCTCATAAAATCGTAACTCCGATCATATAGAAAAGTAATAGCACACCACTTATAGAAAAATGAAGGGCTGCATGATAATGGTTACACTAATAATCACAATTATTTTGCTCAAAATGATTATTAATCACAATCAATTTCATTTGACAAATTTCTTTTACATTTCATTAGAATTATTGCACTTTCACATAAACACAAATTAAGAAAATATTATTATATTATATTGCAGATTATGTTATTTATCATGTACATTAATGCACTCTTTTCATTAAGAAAACTGGTATAACCTTTCTCTCAAAAGCTAAAACAGTGAAATTCCTAATATTGATTGTAGTAATTTTAAATTATGTTAATGCATTTCTTTTAAAACACTAAAAAAGTCTTTGCACTTATGCAACCTCTATGCTACCATACATTTATTCAACAACTACAATCGCAAACAATATAGTCGAGATTTATTTTTGTGTATATCGCAGATTTTGCAGACGATTATGCCTAAATAATTGAGAGAAGCAGAAATAATGATCACAATTAAAATGCGATTAATCGTGCAACAGTAATCGGTATCATTTATATCATAATGCATGACAAAGTTTAATACTCAGAGTTGTAAGTTTTATTAAATCATTAACCCAATAGATGAGCAGTACTATAGTTCCCTCTAACACGTACCACTAATGTAATTAACTAATGTAATTCTATAGTGGTGAGTGGAATCTACACCAAATATAATTTTTGCATTCCCATTTGCCCCAATAGCAACAGTAACAGTATTTCTATGACTTTTCAGAAGAGAGATTATTTTATATATATTATTATATTATAATTTTTTCATATCAAGAGATTACATTGGTCAGAAGAGAGAAAGATGTCAGATATACTGTCTCTTCCTCAGCAGTGTTAACTAGTTTTCTGCAATTGAATGGCAATATCATAGACTGTATAAAAACATGGACGTAGTGTCCGTGACGTCACCCGTAGGTTTCCGAAGAGCGTTTTTGAAGCCTAAAGTAGGCGGAGCCGGCCGTCGCCATCTTGGCAGCGCGTCACCGCGCGTCACTCCCGGATAATCGAAAATTGGCAAAGAGGTGGGAGCTGGTTGCTGAAACCACGCCCACCTTGCTCGACGGTGGTGACAGCAGCGGCAATCCACCTGTCACTCAAGTGGACGCGCCCTTAATTATGCAGAACTTTAAGGCTTAATATAATTTAAACGGATGAGTTATAAAAAAAATCACCCCCCTCACAGTTGTCATGAAGAGCAAAATTAGCTATATAGACCAAAATAATTTTTTGAACCAGGCTGTAAACATGTTTTTTTCTGCTGTAAAGTTGGGCATTTTAACATGGGGAGTCTATGGGATTGACTCCCTTTTGCCAGTTGACGAATTACAGTTTAAGTCACTTCCGTGTTGGCTTCACGAGAGAGAGCGGGAGGTTGCCGCTTGGCCAAGATACTATAGTGGCGTAAATGTACATTAATTTCTTTTTAAATGAAAATGTAAAAAATTTCAAGTAATTGTAGAAATGCGCCATCACGGTCTGTGAAAACCGTCCGTAGAGAGAAATAGAGTGAACGATGAACCCCAGAGAGAAGTTGGATGTGGTCTATATATAATTTTGAATCCAATTACATGTTTGCTGCTTGCCGATTGCGAGATGCTTTTTTAGAGTGATTGTTATTCACAAAACTGGAAACGATAACAAGATTTTCAGACAAAATGCTTCCTTTTTCAAGATCAGCTGGCTGATATTGACTGAATGTGTGTGTGTGTGTGTGTGTGTGTGCATGTTTATGTGGTTTATGAGGACACAAATTTGTATAATAGCATGGGTATGACATAGGTATTACAACGAGAAGGTGATTTATGAGGACATTTTCAGTGTCCCCGTAATTCAAAGATGAACCCCAGAGAGAAGTTGGATGTGGTCTATATATAATTTTGAATCCAATTACATGTTTGCTGCTTGCCGATTGCGAGATGCTTTTTTAGAGTGATTGTTATTCACAAAACTGGAAACGATAACAAGATTTTCAGACAAAATGCTTCCTTTTTCAAGATCAGCTGGCTGATATTGACTGAATGTGTGTGTGTGTGTGCAAAAGAAAGACATAAAGATACACGGATTGAG